AATTTCGGAGAAAATTATTGTAAGAGACTTGTTTCTTTTTGAAAATCTAAATTTTTTTGAGCCTTTAGAATTCTAAAAAAAGGTTCACCTTTAAAAATGTCATATGTTGATACTCTTTCGACTTATGATTCCATTTTTTAATGGTTCTTTTCGGTAATTTCTAGGGAAACGGGAAATACTATTTAAACCCCTGGAATTTTCTTCAACCTCACACCGTAAGTTAATTTTCGATTCCTCCCGGAAACTTATTTCTTCTTCAGCCTTCGCACAAATGATTCTTCCTTTTTCTCCCGCCAGTTTTTACAACTTTCCCGGAACTTCACACAATAAGATTTTGTTTTCGTGTTCGGTAAATTCTTACCGAAATCAAAACAGCTGAACGTTCGGTAAAACTTTGACCTTCAGTTTAAAGTCCATTGAATTAAAAGTCATTTCAAAACATGTTCACCCTTATGATCAAATCTTGTGGAAATTTGGTTTCAAAGTAACTGAAAAACAATTGAATTGAATTGCATAAATTTTGCCAAACAGTTCAGCTGTTCAAATTTCGAAAAAAATTTCAGTGATGCCTTGACAAACTGAAAGCAGAAACATTGGTTCAGACTTGGCTAAAGCTGAAATCGAAAGAAAGTTTGGATGGATGCAGTTTTCATGGGTGAAAAAGTATTCATCGATTGCTTCATAAAATGTTACACTTCAGTTCCCTCAAGTGCAACTGTTGAGCAACTGTTTTCTGTGACAAGTGACATACGGCAAGCTAAGAGAGCATGTCTGTCGGACAAAAAGTTTGAACGTTTGCTATTTTTCACCTGAAGGAACTTTACTGTAAAAATCGCCTGCAATGTATTTGCAAATTATGTCTCATGTTAAATAAATAACTTAACAATACCAAAACATGAGACTAATATCTTCAACAATAAGGTTTATATGTTAACCTAAAGGGGTATTTGATTTATGTATAAACAGGGCGTTAAGGCCGTTAAATTTATCACTTGTTTTAACAATTTAACGTTAACACGTTACAATAGCAAATAATATCGTTAACGGTAACCGACGTTTGCTGTTTGGTTAACGGTGCCTAACACTGAGTACATGTATTAAGAATAGTGAAATTTATGTATCATAAAACATATTTCATATCTCATTCTCCAACTCCACTTCCATTAGACTGTAAATCTCGAAAAGACCGCTATTAATCGGTTCAATTCCTTTAACCCTATATTTAAGACATTAATTATGTACAACGCAAATGATATCTTGGCTCTGTGTAGTTTATTCGATTGAGCCTGTACAAAAAAATTAATCCATATAAAAGCGATTTCGCCCCTTTGAAATGCTAGCACTCATATATGTGCTCGAAAACTGATCCTGAGGATGTAAACATATGCTAAGGCTGTATTTTAATTGTGTTGGGTTACTATTGATATTTTTGCAATCAAACTGATCGAACTTTATCAGTATCAGAACGTTCCCTTAAGATGGATTTTTTCTCTAATTTTGGTATTGATTTGATATAACGTAGAGAAATCAAAAATATAAGCGAAAACGAGCGATGTATGTTTTGACTCGTAATTCTCAAGCTACAGGCGATACTTTTTAGAATGTACCATTTTAGAAAATACTAGGGGGTGTTCCAGTAATATTGGTGTACCCATAGTTGCAGTATAGGGTTACAGAATAATGGTAAAAAACCAGATAAATTTATTTTTCATAAGTAACTTTTCTAATACTTTTATCGCCATACTTCAAAATTGAAATTTGTCCAAAAATGACGGCAAACAATTAATTTCCCTAAGAAAAAACCCGAATTTATCCACCTATGGTGTGATCAGACCCTTCTTACTTATTCAAGTTTATTTATTTTATTGTCATTATCAGTGACCAAGCCCCCCACCCCCGTGTCATCCAGTGACGCTACGCCACTGCCTGGGGGTACCCGGAATATATCCGAGTGTAGTCTGTTTGGTGAGGCTACCAATCACCTTATCATCGTATTTTAATGTGATTTAATGGGTATTAATTCAATTCATATTCAAGCAACTTCCCCGGGGTACCCGGAACATGTCCAAGTGTGTCCAATGTGGTATGGAACACTTAACACGACTTGCATTGATCTTATTTTTGAATTCTGTAGTAATTTGATGCGTCGCATGATGATTTTGATACGTTTTCCGTTAAATCCAGCGTTAAGGCCCATATTCACCGGATCTTATCCGGCCATATCTCCGGAACCGGTTCACCGATTCCAAAACCGTTTAATAGCGTTTAATGGGACCCCAAGACCTATCATTTGGCGCCGAGTTTGTCCAAAGGTTGAGCGGTTGCTGAGAAACGTGAGCGCATTCATTTCGTTACATACACACACACATACACACATACACACGTACACACACACACACACCGACATGTTCCGATCTCGTCGAGCTGAGTCGAATGGTATATGACACTCGGCCCTCCGGGCCTCGGATCGATAGTCGGTTTTTCAAGTGATATCTATACCCTTCTTTGTAAGAAGGGTAAAAATGCAACACTTTCTTTTGTGTATAACTTTTTATTGCTTGGGTAAAAAGTGATGAAAATTCGAGTAAAACTAGTTTAGAGTGTAATGTTTACATGTGATAAATCTCGTCACAATCTGTCAAGTGGTTATCGAGATGGCTTCTAAGCAAGAAGTGCTTTGACAACAAATTATGGGAGCAGCCGTGGAAAATCCAGGCCAGTCCCACAGGTGGATCGCGAAACAGACAATTCGACCGTGTCCCGTGTGGTAAAGACGTTCAAGGAGACCCAGACAACCCAGCGACGAGCTGGCAGCGGAAGAAAAGCGAAGTCGACCGACCCCGTGAACGCAAGGAAGGTGAGGGATTACTACAAGCGCAATCCGAACCTTTCGATTCGGGACGTGGCCATGAAGGTCAATTCTTCCGTCTGGTTTGTCCAGCAGACAATGAAGCGGCCCGGACTTCATGTCTTCAAGGTAAGGAAGACGCCTAACCGAACCGATAAACAGAATACGGTGTATCGCGAGTGGTTGGTGCAGCCAAAATGCATCGTAATGGACAACGAAACGTATTTTAAAGCGGACACTAAGCAGATATCCGGCCTGAAGTTTTTCGCCGGCAAGTCCCGTCTGGATGTTCCGGAGAAGTTCCGGAAGAAGAAGGTCGATAAATTTACCGAGAAGTACTTAGTGTGGCAGGTGATCTGTGGGTGCGGCAAATTCAGCAAGCCGTACATAACAGTCGGTACCATCAACGGCTAAATACATATAGAAGAATGCCTCCAGAAGCGTCTGCCGTCCTTCCTCCGGTCCCACGAAGGTGATACTCTTTTTTGGCCGGATCATCATGTCATAACGCGAAACCGGTGATGGAGTGGTACGATGTTGTTTTTGTGCCAAAGGAGGCAAATCTCGCCCAATAGAACTTCGCCCAATAGAAAAGTTCTGGGCAATTATGAAGGACAAGCTCCAGAAAACTGGGAAGGCCTTCAAAAACGACAAGGATTTGAAGAAAGAGCGGATGAAAGTGTGTAAGAAATATGGCGCAAGTGTTGCGCAGGATTTGATGGGTAGCGTTAAGCCCAAGGTGCGGGCATTGAGCCTAGGAGAAGAGGTTGAATAAACCAACTTTACAAAAACATAGCTATTATGTGTATATTTATTCCCTGAGGGTTTCAAAAATATCCGACTTAAATTACTTGTTAGTGATCATTTTTGTTGCGGTAGTGATCTTATATTAGTGGAATTCATAAGAAACCAATGTGTTCTAAAATTTTAGGATCCAATGTTAGCAACTACCACAACGACTCGAACAGTTTTCCTATTAATGGCGGATGAGTTTTCGAAAAACGTATACAATTTGATCGCAATGAAATATTTTGCTACCAAAATTAGAGATTGAAAGATATAGATTTTTTTTCTCCATGATTTGTTTTCCATCGATCTTGTTTTCCGTACTGAGTAACAATGCTACCAACGGTTTTACTTCCCTTTCGAAGGATCAGTCTGATCAGATATTTTATGCCCTAGAAAATCCCGACGGCACCCACTGGGTTAAGCTATAGATAGACGTACAAAAATTTTCACACATCGTTTATTAATTTTTAATAAATAAATTGTCTTCGTTCCTCCACTAAGGACTTACCCACGCTATATATGCTGTATGATCAAATGTAGCACGCATTACTGCCATTTTAAGAACACAATTCAACGCAACCCTTCACAACAAAATATTGGTATAACACAGTTGAACTACAGAGTTCGAAAAAGTAGTGTAAATTTCTGTTACTATGATACACATAAATGGAGTGTAATATATCATACAAGATTACATTATAGAGTGCGTAAATTTATGAAATATGTCATGAGACATTCCATATATCGTATGTAGCATTTCTTGCATGATGCTGGTTGGCGTGAAAAGGAAGTTTACATGCATTAATGTTTGCATGTATGGCTGTTTACTTCTTCTTCTTTCTTTTTCTTCGCATTTTAAGCTTATTGCATATCGCATATTAACTTATTGCGTGCTCTCAACTTAGTGTTCTAGATGCACTTCCACAGTTAATAATTGAGAGCTTTCGATGCCTGTACCATTTTTGCATTGGTATAATTGTGTGGCAAAATCCAATCATACTTCTATGCCCAGGGAAGTCGAGAAATTTTCCAACCCGAAAAATTCCTAGACCGGACCGGGAATCGAACCCAGCCACCTCGGCATGGTCTTGCTTTATAGCTGCGCCTTTACCGACTGAGCTAAGGGAGGCCCCTGGCTGTTTACATAACCAGTAAAGTTCAGATTTTTTTCTGTGTCCAACTAACCAATTCAGTCAGATCTAGGAGCAATCGTTTACAACGATCGTTCCCTGCAGCAAACTCACAAAGTCATTGTTTTTTATAGCTTATTAATTGGCATGCTACGAGCCATTTCACGCGCAGCTATCCTACCGTTTATCACCCCCATCACGTAAGCCCGATCGCACGTGTTCAAATGTCTTACCGGGTGGAGACTTGTTGACGAATCGTAACGCATTTCCGATCAGCGGATAACCCTTCGGTCCGCCGATCTTCCCAGCGTAGTACAGTTGATCGGCAAATTTCTGGTAGATCAAAACAGCCAAGCCAACGGCCAGCAAAACCACCGCCAACAGCATAAACATTGTGATCACTGACTGTGTTTTGCTGCTATTCTTCGAGCTATCACTGTTTCATCACTAAGTACGTCCACAGGTCGGATTCTCAGCACCGCGCACTTTTTACTGCCAGTTTAGCAACAACAATGATGTGCGACTTTATTAACTCTAAACCGATCGAAGCAACTGCTGCGAAACGACTGTGAGCTAAGTTCCTGACTGGAATTGCTACTAATCTGGAAGTTATAACTACGCCAACGATGATGCCTAGTTACTACAACACATCCGTTGCTGACAGAAAAGCGATATACCACAACACACCTATGCAGCTGGTGGCTTTGAACGGAACAAGCTGCGTGTTCAGAGCACTGTGGAAGTAGTTAGAGCAGAACACAAATTAGATCAGGATCTCTTAGAAGCTGCTTACTGTTAGGTAATGACCCTGAACAAGAGACGTCTGAGACTTGGGTGTCCCTCACAAAGGACAACGGTGCTACTAATGTGTTTAGAGATTTTTTATTATTTATTTATTATACATATATACATAGATATTTTTTATTGAGGATATGGGAGAGAATGATCCACGGAAGCTTCGTGATATGAAACAGTAACTTACAGATTAATCATCATTTAGCGGGAAGAAATTTGTTACACGGCATCTGTGGAAACAGTGTTGCACTGGACAATAGAACGTATTAATTTAAATCTGTCATGCACTAGATGCGTTTTCCCCATGTTCAGATTGGAATCGAAACAAACAACGCACGTTTTTGCGCTAATGAACGATCTGCACTTATCGCATGCATGCAAATTTGCAGTCAAACCGCAGTCGGCGCACATCAGATTGCGCCTCTAACGGTCAATTTTACGACGCTGCCGCGTCGCGACGCAGCCAGATCTGTCTCTTCACATCGCAGCATGCAATAAATAAATAACAATTGAAGAATCATAGTGACGACGATTGACTCACAGATAGCGAGTGGGTGAAAATGGTAATGACGTTTTGATATCTGTCAAATTGTATGACATTGTTTTTAGTACATCATCATTTTTTTGTAATTGCAAAACTGACCATGACCAGTTTTGGTGATTCCCTGTAGCGTCCTTTTTCGTATTACACCAAAAACTTGCATAAAAACGAGGGGCAAGGCAGATGTACTCAGAGTAAATATATTTGCAGCGAGTAAATTTTAGTTACATTTACTAAAAAAAATGATCAGATCGATTTTCTGATCAAAGAAAAAAAAAATCGATTGGTTTTAATGTTGTCGTTGAAGATTTTTTTATGATGTGGTGGTGTTATTTCAGGACTATCCATATTGGTACTCGACCAGAGATTTGAGAAGATTCGGATAGTCTGTAAAAGATCGTTCTCATATTGTTGAACTAATTTCGGACATGTTGAAATCCAACATAAATATTGAGGTTTATCGTGACAAGTGCTACTATGTTCCAAGTTTTCAATAACGTGTAAGTCGGAAGTCAAGATGGCTTCCGAGTCAAATCGCTAATGATCTTCGATCGTCCATCAGTGACGATTCCCTCAGGTTGGTGGCCTTAATTGCCAAGGAGGATCCCTTCTCGGCACCACGACCAATGTGGCCATGGCCCTTACTACCGATGTCACTTCACGGTAAAGTGACAACTTGTTACTCACGGTGAAGTGATTCCCATTTGATTTACACGGCAATCACTTAACCGTGAGTGTCAACTGGACACTTCACTTCGTTTTCACAGTGAAGTGACACTCGTAATAAGGGCCCATGTCATGGTCAGCCGATTTCCGCCAAAGAAGGAAGATGCCTGCCAGTCAAACGAGCCAGTAACGCCTGCTGGGCCGTTCGTGGTAGAAGATATCCGCCGTTCTCCCAATTCAGCAACGAAACACTGATTGCAGTCCGCGTCGCAAGATTCCGACCACACGGTAGTGCAGGAGCAGCCGTGTGTGCCAACGCCAGCGTCGCGACGCCGTAGGATATCCGGCTGCAGATGTGAGTACAGTGCAAATTTTAAACCCTCGCACACACGCCACAGAAAAGGGGCAATATATGATTTAGAAAATGTGAATGTGTTCGTTTTCATACGCGAATACCCAGTAACATGTCGGCCCTGCGGCACAGTTCAGGTGTCTCATGCTACTGAGCTAGTTACCCGGGAGTGTTTGGTCATGCCATAGTCACAAAATGAAAGTAAATGATTTTCCATGCCTGTCTCAAAGTATTAATTTTACTCTGGTCTACACGCTCGTCTGTTTTAAGATAAACGATTGCCGTTCGCTAAGCAGCGCAGGACCCTTCACCCCATCGCCCCGTGACTCCGTGTCACAATTTTGCTTTGACCATGCACGCCTTATTCAACAATCATGATGATGATGATGATGATGATGATGATGATGATAGATCCTTTCCATTTAGCTAACACTAAGTTTAACGCGGTTTCACAAGAATGACCTTCCCGGTATCCCGATTGTTCCGGTATCAACAAACAGTTACTATTTAAAAATTCTTTATTAAGGGGACTTTCAGCCGAACGCTGGTTCGTCTCCGGTTTGGATAATATTTATTCATATAAATTCAAAATAAGTTGCAAATGTGGTTGTTACATCCATTGTACTAGGCAAACTGGCATCAAATGGTAACATATTTTTTTCCAGAACACACGTCAATCTACTGCACTGTCTCCTGTAATGGTCTGATTCACTCATCAGCAGCCTTAGAGCATCCCGAGACAAGCCGATTAATGACCTCTGTACTGCCCAAGTCAGTCCCATCTGCATTTTAATCAGTTTTGAGTTAGCATGATTATTCAGTTTATCTTTCTATGTTTTTTTGGATGTGCTATTGAAAAATGGTGGTTTGTTCAAGAAAAATGAAAAACAATACCAAGTCAAATTGTCCTACACCGAAAAGTAACCGCAAGTCAGTCCCATTAGAAAAAAAATATGTTAGAAATGTTAGACAACACATCGCATCATGAGATTTGTCTCAAGACAGATTTTGTCCACTTCCCATACGGTATCTGGAACATGTCCTGATGTGGCCAATATAGTTCTTACGATACTCAGTTTGACCGCCAATGGATGGCTTTGAATTCTCTTGTGATTTGATGTATCGCTTGATGGATTTTGATTTTAAAAAGATTTACCACTTCTCCGGGGATACCCGGAATTTGGCGAACATGGTGATGGTCACTGATCATGACTCTTATCGATCTTATTTTTGAATTCTCATGTGAATTCTGATTATGTGAATAATCAATTGATTTATCGCATGGTGGGCTTGGCACGTTTATGAAAAGCTCTGGTCTGATGAAGACCCAAAAAATTTATCCCTCCAAAATAAGTGTCAAATCAGAAAACTTGTAAAATCTTTGAACGCCGTTTCCTCATTTCCAGTTTTTTACAGATGGGACTGACTTGCGATTATGGGCAGTGTAGTGATGCGAAATACATGCTTGATATGGAAGAAGAAGATGAAAAAGATAATAATTGCTAACACAAAATTATACACTGGGTGAAAACTTGTCACTTGTAGTCACGGTGAAGTGATTCCCATTTCATTTGTACGGCAATCAAGGCTCTTATTCTGAGTGTCACTTCCTTATCACCGTGTAGTGACACCCGTAATAAGGCCCACTATTTTCAAGTAGCCTACTGTGATGAGTATAGGGTGTCCCAGAATGTGTATGCACGACATTTGAACACCCTTGTTTGTTTCAGATGACGTTGATACAGCTGATTATAAATGATGATGATGATGATGATGATGATGATGATGATGATGATGATGATGATGATGATGATGATGATGATGATGATGATGATGATGATGATGATGATGATGATGATGATGATGATGATGATGATGATGATGATGGTCCCACCTCTTACTCCTACAAAGGTTTGAGCTGGACGATTTATCTTTAAGATAATTGAATATGACATTTTAACCAGGTTGGCAAACAAAATCGAACTGGTTTCAGTTACAGATATAAATTCCCTCTAGAGTTTACAGTTGCTTCACAGCGATATAAATGTGGAAAAGCTCAGGCGTCCACCTCTTAGTTCGCCTTTTTGTCCACCTAAAATATTCATAAGTATTACAAGCAATCAAGAGTTAATGAACAATCAACAAAGCATCCTATTACACTAGTAACCCCGCAATCTGATGCTATCATAATTTTCAGCAATGTCAGGAATGCTCACGAACCCCTAACATTTGCCAGAAAACTTACTACTAACTCAAGGTATCTTTCAAATAAGCTTCAAAATTGCATTTTTTTTATCAAATGTTAAATTCAGTCCTATATATCCGTAATACGCGCGCGAGGCTCAAACCTTTGTAGACTACTTTTTTTTTAATTAATCTACTATTAAATCAAATATTAAAAATCCATCATCGTGGCGAACAGAAATAGTTTTTGCAGTGCTACAATAATTATTAAAAAGTCGTTATGACAGTTATCCATATAAAATAATCCGTCAGAGATAACTTCGTCAAGATACATAATTTATCAATTCATCATCAAAAAATCACTGGATAACTGTTCAAAAGGCAGTTTTAACGTGTGAAATGCAGTGTCTTTTAAATTCTGTAAGTGTTGCTGAACGTTTGATATGTCTAGGCATCGAATTGAAAACATTTATTCCTTTATAATATAATGAATTTTGTGAAGCACAAGTCAAGAAATGTTAACCATTAATTACTTTAACACCTTACTTAATTACACCGACAACCATTGTAAGGCGTCTAACATTAAAGTTGAGGAAGTGAATCTATTACATCTCAAAATCAAACGCATTATTTTATTCTGCAAGCGCTGTAATCTCGATATTTGTGTTGCATTGGCCAGAAATTAAATGGAAGGGCAAAAGTCAAGATGAGGAGAGATGATTGATTTGTATAGCTGTATTTTACTGGCAATAGTTAAATCGTGGTCACGTCTTCTTTCGGAAAGGAAGTAAGGCCGTTGGTCCCAGCCCATGTGTGTTGAATCGGTGCGATATCCTACGCAGGTGTGGAAGCTGCCTTCCTGCACATTCGATTGCCGTCACATTTTTTGTTGATTTGCACCTCAGAATAATACACAAAAACGCCATGCATGTTGTCGGATAAAACAATTCGCAAAAAAATTCGTTATTATTTTCAGAAACTCCATCATTAGTTTTGAATTAGGTCTCTGAAGCAGAGAAGAGAGAGGAGAGTGAAGGAGTTTTGAATTAGGTCTCTGAAGCAGAGAAGAGAGTGAAGGTTGCGTTTTATGATGAAGCAACAGGCAGTTGTTTTCCCTATGCAATTTTTTTTTTTTTTCTTAAATTTGAAAGTTCTGGCTCTTTGGTGAACGGGTGAAAAATTAGCGAAATTAAAATTTAGTTGTTACTTATAAATGTAGTTTGCTTAACAATCATTTCCCGGAAAAAAGTGATCGTCAAAGTCCATGTCTTTTTCGGGTTGTCGTTATAGGAGGGGGAGGGGGTGTTTTTCATAAATCACTTATCCCAGTTTCGATTAGTCATACGGGACCCAAGTCTCATCCCACCTCAAGGTTGTCAAGGTGATCACGCCGTAATTCTCCTTAATCCGCTGACTTGCTCGCTAATTTTTCACCCGTTTACCAGAGAGCCAGAACTTTCCAATTTAAGAAAAAAAAATTGCATAGGGAATACAACTGCCTGTTGCTTCATCATAAAATGCAACCTTCACTCTCTTCTCTGCTTCAGAGACCTAATTCAAAACGAATGATGGAACTTCTGAAAAAAATAACGTTGGGTTAACTACCCCATTTCCGGCCTATTAAACACAACCCGCACTTAGTCTTTCTTAATCTAGCGCAGTTTAGCACCGAACGGAATGTGATTATTACTGATGACTTCCAAATTTATTTACCTTTCCGTATGTACCGTAATATTTGATAAAGAGCGACCTGGAATCGTTGAGATATTGTCTAAAATCTAGCACTGCTTCTTGACGCCAAACTCGGCCTACGGATTCTAAACTCGCCCTAACGCATTGAAACGCCAATGAAACGCCAATGAATTCACTTCGGCCTATCGAATGGAGATAAAAAATGGACTGGGTCGGAGTGCTTCTTTTATTTTTGGAATACTGGGTGCAAACCTTCATATCACGCGTTCTCATTGACTTCGTTTCGTAGCTTATTAACTAAAGTATCGTACCAAACGCATAATTGACTTGTTAACTCTGAAATCATGGATTTATTTGAAGTTGTCTGCTCAATAGGCCCAAAATGGGCGATGCTCTCTACGCTATTTTTTGCGAATTGTTTTATCCCACAACATGCATGGTGTTTTTGTGTATTATTCTGAGGTGCAAATCAACAAAAAATGTGTGATTAAAAAGTGTCAGTTCCTATTGTAGTCGATGTCGAATTTAGTGCACATTGATCAATTCTTAACCATTACATTAAATTTAAATATAATCTTATGCGTAATATGAACAGTGGTAGATTATGCTAACATTAATTGTCGCGAGTTTTGAACCATAAAGCTGGGTTCAGACTAGCCAAGTCAAATGATCAACTCAGTTGCATTCAATTGGCTTGAAAAGTTGAGCCTGGTTCAACTTTTTTCAATTCAAGTGAGTTGATCAAGTCAGTTGAATGGCATGGTTTATACGTTCAATTCGCCTTCAAGTCAGTTGAATTCAACTGACTTGATCAATTGAATTGCCCTGTCTAAACCCAGCTTAACGGAAACATTGAAATACATGAAAAATTTAAGATAAAGTATAATAGTCGAAAATGCATGACATACACCAATTTGGCGTAGTTCTACGTCGTACTGTGGTTGTGTCTAGGACACAACCCTTTAATTTTTTTAACTCTTTATTTGTTCCAAATTCAAAATAAATTACATTTCATTTTAACCTAGGTGCTACAGTTACTACAGTAACTTACCAGCCTTAATTGTTATGATATATATCAAAGTATTTCAAACAGGTTTTTTTAAACCTGCATGTCAGTATAACAAGTCAAACACCTTCATTCCCGGTTTACAGAACCCGTTTCTTCACTCTCACTGGAATGCCTCCTTCCGGTCTTAGCACCATCTCGGCGATGATTTTCTCCGATTTGGGCTGCTTCGGAGGTAACAGCTCATAGTGGCGCAAGGTTTTACTGATCAAGCTTTTAATTTCCGCTACGGCAAATTTCTGCCCGATGCAATTTCTCGGTCCGGCACTGAACGGAACATAGCGGTAGGGGTTTGCTTTATCGGCCGACGTTTCGACGGCAAACCGTTCCGGTCGGAATTCCAGCGGGTTATCGAAATAGTCCGGATCACGACCCATAAAGTATGGGAAAATAACCAGGTTCGATCCGGCTGGGAATACAGTTCCATCTGTAATGAAAAATAGTCATCCTTGTTTTATTCAGCATGGGGATGTAAGTAAGATTGGTCGTACTGATTTCATGATTGTCTAACAGTTTCCGGCCGAAGATCGGTACAGAAGGGTATAAACGAAGGGTTTCCTTAATCACCAAATCGAGGTAGTTGAGTTGGTTCAACTTCGACAAAGTGATAGGCGTGGTCGGATCGTCGCCAATCACGGTCTGAACTTCTTCGTAGACTTTCTGCTGTACATCCGGATGTTTCGCTAAGATTCCTATCAAGAAGCATATGGCCGAGGTAGTAGTGTCATGACCCTCAAACATAAAAGTGTCAACCTCCTCACGGACATCCAAATCATTCAATGGTCGCCCTTCCACCCTGGCTTGCAGCAGCATATCCAGAAAGGCCGTCTTCTTGCGAATTCCAACGTCATTTTCGTTTTCGTCTGTGGATTTACCATTTTGACTGGCCGCTTGTGTTAGCTCTTGGCGACGCGACCGGATAACGCTATCCGTGTAATCGTGGAGGATTTTCAAAGCCTTATCTTGCATCTTTCGATAAGGGGTAAAATAAAACGTGAAATCAAACCGGGCGAAGGCTTTGTACGACCGAGCCATAACAACGGTGGCCATGCTAAAAATAGAAAATTCGGTTTTGATAAACAGATGGATTAAATGTTAAACAGAGTTACTCTTTTACAGCTCTCACGTATGCCGAGTCCGAGTTGAGCTGTGCGTTGACCGTTGTTCCCATAGCCGATTCTTAAACAAATGAAATTACATTTATTACAGATATTGATCAGAAACCTAGTGCATACCAAGAACTAACCACATATTACATCCAGTGCACATAGGGTAACCTTTGGAAATGCATCAAAGTCCTCTCCACTGGCTGCGACTGACTTGAGCTGCTGAACGAAGATGTTGCTCTGTTGATCGAAAATGTCGACAAACTGCTCCAGGATCTTGAAGTGAAAGGTCGGAGTGATAATCTTGCGTCGTGAGTGCCATTTCCGGCCGGTACTGGTGAGCAATCCATCGCCCAACCAAGGGCGAATGAAGTCGTACTGCACCGATTTGTCCAGGAATTTTTGACTGCTAAGGAGGGCCTACAATTTTTTTTTAACCAAACATTAACGGTAGGCATTGTAATATACTTGAATATGTAGCATTGATGAATCATATTTTCATTAACGAACTCAACTAATTGCACCAGACCAGTGCTTCTTAATCTACCGGTCGCATTTATTGATGAATCATAGGCTATATATCAACTCGAAGTCGGATTCGAAGTAGGAATATTTGTCACCGACTCCACAGCCTCATTTGCTCCGTGATTGATCAGAATCAATGAAATCGTATAAACTGAATGCGGCTAGGAGTGACTGTATATTAGGGTGTTTCATTTTGAAAAAAGTGATGAATTTTTGATAGGCCACCCTCCAGTTCGATTCATAGCCCCAAAATATGAACCTGTGCAAAAAATGGTAAAGATTGATGAAGGTTTAGAGGTCGCGCCAATGATTTGGATTTTGTATGGAGATTTTGGTGAATTAGTATGGGAAATTATTGATTTTCGTTTACATTGCTCTAACTTTGGTTGTAGTTGTCCAAACGTTGAAAAAAAAAAATATGTGGTTGTCATGACAATGATCAACAAGCCTGTTGTTGTTGCGATGAAATTGGCGTTGTTGCCTTGTACATATTCATCTGTCAATTTACCCTATTTTGCCATTTTTTCACATTTTTATAATTCTTGATACGCTGCAAAACTGAGCGTAGCAACTGTAGGCTTTTTGTTTATTGCCATAGCAATAACATACTAAATTTTTTCGACATTTGGACAAGTAGAAGCAAAGTTATAGCGATATAAGCGATTTTTTAAATTCTTCCATAGTAATTCCCATACAAATTTCAAATCATTGGCGCGACCTCTAAACCTTCATCAATCTTTACCAATTTTTGCACAGGTTCATATTTTGGGGCTATGAATCGAACTGGAGGGTGGCCCATCAGAAATTCATCACTTTTTTCAGAATGAAGCACCCTACTGTATATATGTCAGTGACTCCATGTATTGAAGATCAATTAAGGTGCCAGCCACATCCTTCCAAACAGGTAAAAGTGGGGAATCAATATTAGAGTGACCTTTGTTGTTTTGGGGGCCATGCGTCCGCACAAAAGGTCACAGGAGGAGAGATTTTGTGAATAGGCGGGGTTCGTTGGATCAGGGTTCACTCCAATAAATTTTGCTATGTGTTAAGGCCTGAAACCCAAATGATGCAAACTCGGTAATGTAAAAGAGTCCTGAGATAAATCGGACGATCTTATGTTCAGTGCTCAATAGGCAAAAACTGCCGCCACTAGACCACCGGACTCCAAATTTGTTTTCTTCTTTTTTATCTCTATTTGTTCCAAGTTCTAATTTCATTAAATTTCATTTTAATCTAGGAGCTCCCGCTACTACAGTAACTTACCAGTCTTAAATATTAGGATATATAGTATATCTATGTGCTGTTTACATTGTTCCTACTTTGGCAATTCAGTAATTTTAAACAGGTTTTCTCTACCTGCATGTCAGTAGAACAATTTACATCTTAAAACTAAAAACTAAAAATAAACCTTATCTAAGTATAAAGGAAATTAATCGTCGCAAGTGAGGATTGTAATGATTTTCGCCTGAAATTATTAATTATTTTGTTGGACATTTGTTCTAAAGTCTCAACATTCGAAATTCTATGAACCTAGGTAGTACTTACCAAGGAGGCAACTTCAAAATCATCTTCAGAACTTTGTTCTGAATCAATTGAAGTGCTTTTTTCCTGGTAGTTCAACAACTAGACCATATAACTAGACAGCATAAAGCATGGACGGTCTAAAGTCTTGGTTAAATATACTAATCCAAGATATTTCACTTGACTTGACCAATGAAATGTAACTACTACTTGCAGACTTCATCAGTGCCAAGTACTCAACACCACTACTTGGCACTGATGAAATCTGCAAGTAGTAGACGAAATACGCGTATCTGTCAAAAGATAAGCAATTATAACGGAATTTAAAGGAAATAAACCAATCCACTCTTGATAAAGGGATTTCGACAAATTTAAAGGATTAAGTATATTATTATTGGAATTGTTCCTGTTAACAGGAAAGGAAATAGTACCTGGTCAGGACCGTGAAGCGATTCCTAACTGTTGCTTAAAATGAGGTTGTAGGATTGCTTTGTGAGTTTAATGGCAAATTCGTTTATTATTCAGTTCCAACCTGGATCGGGTATCAAGATTGGGTCTGCTTGTTTTTAAAACCTAGCTCAGGTTGAGGTTTGCACTGACAAAACGTTTGGTTTCACACTGTTTCCAACCCTGATAATAAACGTATTCGCTATAGCATTCCCAAAAATTGGATTTGTGGTTTTCACCACAATATGAACATTTTAATTTCTTAAGATCCTCCTTCACAGGACAGTCGTTCTTTGCGTGAGAGGAATCTCCAAAATTCATGCATTTAGCTGGCATGTAGCAATGTTTCGTTCCGTGACCCTTTACCTGGCACTTACGGCACTGGGTAAGGTTTTGAAAATTTCCTCCAGTCTTCCTGAAGTGTTCCCACTTCACTCGGACATGGAGCATAAGGCTAGCTTTTCCAAGGCCTTAAAGTTGGATAGTTCACTAGACTTGAAGTGGACTATTTAAATAAAAATCACTGGAAATCCCGCTGCGTGAATCACCAGGACGGGATTTCTTTTTCATTTTGATTACTTGGGCAGGCTCAACTCCAAGTAATTTTAACAATTCATCTTCGACCTGATCCAGGGATTCACCACTGGACAGACCTTTCAAGACAACCTTGAACAGACGTTCAGTGTTGGTATCGTATGTGAAAAATGTGTGTTTCTTCTCAGTAACTACTTTAGAAATCGTTTAAATGCATCCACGGTTTCAGCCAATACACGACATTCACCCCAACGGCCAATTTGAAGTGAAAACTTGAATTTAACGGAGTTCAAAAGTTCCATGCGAAGAGCATGGAAATCGGAAGTAGTTATCACAATAGGTGGGACCTTTTCTCTCTTGGCATTATGCAGGGAATGTTTACTGGAGTTTTTCCTAGGGGATGGATCATTATCATCATCCTTGAGCATATCAAATTGATTTCTCAAATGAATTTTATCAGAAGGGGGATCAAGAGATTGTCCTTTTCTCCAAATCGACTTCCTAGAAGATTACTATAATAATCCAACGTATCGAAGAGGCATTTCTCAAATCAATATACAAACAGGATTACCTAGGGTAGGGTCCAAACAAGGATCAAAGAGGAATAAGATTCGAACAAGGAAGAAAACTTGCAAGTAGTATTTAGCACTGAGAAGTGCTTTTCAATTGTGTTTTAGCTTTAGGTAGCAGTAAGACTTCCTTCAGAAAAAAAAAAAATAGATCTAGGCAAGGGAGCACGATGTGGACTGATACCCAACATAACGACTAACCATTGCGAACCACAAAGCCCGGTGACATAAAGCAATTCAAATGAAATGATGTTCCCGACATGCCTCTACATGGGAACAAATATAAAATCCGAAATGAGAAAAATGACTCATGATTTCATGAACGTAGCGTATTTTCATGTTATTAAAATACACCATGAATTACGTTTAGTTTTTAAACCAAAAGATGTTCAAAAATTATAAAATATAGCATCAGACTGGATTCGAACCAAGAACCTTACGGTCATTAAATCCATAATTTGACCACTAGACTATAAGTACTTCAGAGTTGGTTGGAAATGCTAACATGAAGCTTTAGTGTGATAATTTATTAGCTAGAGAATGATCTTTAGAAGAGGGTAGGTGGATAGTTCCGTTAGAGTTAGAGTACGGCAGTATGAAAATTGAATAGAAGTTGAAAATGAGCGAAGGGCCATTAATGCGACAGTTTTTAAAGTTAGACGCACATCTTTTGCCTAACCCGTACGATGTACACGGAGACTTGAAGTATATCTCCAAGTCTACAGGCAAAAAATGTGCGTCCTTCTTTTGCTCATAAACTGACTGCGGCTGTGGAATAGTTCTAGCGACGTTTCATCACTACCTAAAGCCCCACGTTGCGAGCCAACTTGGTCATCTCAGAGAGAAGGCAGTAGGGTGGTTGTTGCGTGCTGTACCGTACCGTGCTGTCGCTAGAACTATTCCACACTGCATTATGAAATCATGAATTTCCATGACGAAATCATGAATCATTGTTATGATTTCATGGGATGGCAAGTTTTTTGATTTCATGTTTTTTTATTCATGAAAATGGAATCGGCTTTTTTCCCGTGTACTATATTCTTTAACCCAGATAAAGCATATGTTATATTCTACCGAGAACATTATTTTTACCGCACAGTTTCTACGGGGTTCTATTAGTAGCGATTGTATACGTAGTCATCTACAATAATAATCTATAATGGAAATGAGCCTGGGATGTCACCCATGATTTTCTGCTCCGTATTCAAAAACGGATGCAAATAGGCCACCAAGCACTTCACATAACAACAAATTAAAAAACATACTACATCTACAATACTTCAACTTCTCCAGCCCAAGAGTCGTGATATTTTCCCCGGTACAAGATCTTATTTTTTGCGACGAGAGGATGAAGTTTTTCCTTTTTTGTTATCGAAGTTCATAGGTGATTCCCTGTTTTTATTTTCACGGATTCCACACCAAAGGGTCGGTAACCGAACTCGACTATCTTCGATCTGGATGACACTTCAAGAGCCACATGTGAAAAGGGCATACAAGCTTTTTGTAAACCATTTTCCCGCCAACCGAGAGTCACCCACGTAAACTAACAACATCATCGGGAACGGGAAAGTTTTGCCTACCCGGTGATGTTGATGGTTTGCGTTAGTGTCATATGGGTGGAGGGAAAAGGGCATAAGAAGGTTTGTTTACAAAAAGCTTGTATGCCCGTTTCACACACGAAACGAAAATCAATTATTTAATTCATGTGTTTCACTTATACATTTTTGCCAAAGCATCAGCCTTATACATTCCATAAGACAAACCACATATGTCCTATTAGAATGCATAAAAGGTATGTGTGACCGCTTATACATTTCAATTGACACATGATCTTTATTAACTTTTTGCAAGGCGTCTGCTTATTAGTTGACTTATACAATTTATGAATAATCAGCAATGGAAATTTGCCAAAAGGTATAAGGAGATTTCTATCCGTGCATGTTGTTCTTTACTTGGTACATATTTTCGGTATAATAGACCAATCATTTTCCGCAGGTGTGAAGATCATTCTGACTCAAGACATTTTTTGTAAAAGGGCCTATGTGTTTTCGCACCCTCATCATTTGTAAAATGTTAGTTCAAAAACAGTTGGTCGCAAAACTGATTAAGAACGAGTTTAAGGGAACTAATCAGGCTATGTGAAAAATACACACTGAAAAAAATCTAAAACATAAAACTTGATCGTTTAATTTAAGAATCTCTAATATAAATCACCTGCTAAAATTCATAAATAAATGCATCGAGTAATATTATCAAATAGAATCATTAAACTAAATATCATGCCAGGAAAGGCTGAACATTGTTAATGCATCTACAACAACCACAATCTTTCCACTTACCTCCACAAGTTTGGCATCGGTGACTGGGAAAATCAAATCCGGCCCAATCCACAATCGGTAGCACTTTCCACATTCTGCGTTCGATTTCTGCACTTCCAGAAGAAAATCTGAAATTTACACCGGAAGTTAGTTTCACTCTGCATTTGCACACTGGTTCATTGTGAGGGGGCACACCTGCCGGTGATTTGGTGCCATAGCGGATCGAATTCCCTACGATGGGATAAGCCTTAGGACCTCCAATCTTTGCCGCATAGTATAGCCGGTTCGCGAACTGTTGGTAAACGTACACGGCCAGTCCAATCGAAAGCGCTATCAGCGTCGACAGCAAGATAAGCATTTTCGTTGTTGTTTAGCACTCGTATATTTTTGTTCGATTGTAGGATCGTGATTCAATCATTGCTAAAACACTACTAAGAGTGTTTTAGATTTATGCGACGAATTTGAATTAAGGCATTGTCTTATCGGCCAGCATTAACGCTATCAGCAAGCGTCCAAAGCAGCTTACTGGCGTAATTAGTGACAGAAAAGTGCTGGTTCGCTGTGTGAAGTAACGATACTAAATAACTAGACTAGATTAAAAACATAACAATTTCTAGGCATCGTTAAAACGTAAAACTTATTTTTCAGTACCTAAAACCCAATTTCAGTTGTTTACTCAAAAGCAGAGTATGATCTTTGGAGCTTGTGAACAATGACGTTCTGGATATATGAATTCTGGATTTTAATGGTGATGTAAACATTTAGGCATGAAAAAATTCATGCATGTAAACTTCCTTTTCACGTAAATTAGAAACTTGAAAGAAATGTTGCTTACAAAGACGGCACAGTGGAACAAACCTATTGAAATTGTGCGTTTTTTTTTATTGCGTGTAAATTGGTGCTTTAACAAGGGCAATGTCTCCGAAGAAGTTTATTGGACTAAAAGTGTCTATCTATTAGGATGGATGGGTGATTCAAAAATTACGTTTTTTTTTATATTCATGAAATGAGTTAGTGTCTTCACAAAAATGTAGATCACATTAAAACAAGCAACTTTGCTCAATACATCAATTTCGAATCTCTAAACGTTGAAGAGATATGATGCAAAAAGCAGTTTTCCTTCAATAACTTTTAATATAATCATTTTATGGCTTTAAAATGATCTACAAAGTTTACCAATGTATCAAAATTCACATTTTTGTCGAACATTGTGTATCGCTATGATGTATATTTGAAAATTTATTAAAGATTTTTATTTAAATTTAGACACTTTTCCAATGAGTATATCTTTAACTGAGGCAAGTTGTGGCAGATCAGTCAACTTTCATGGGAAAATACTAACTTTTGGCTACAATATGCACTACACTTTATTAGGAGATCTTCAGAGGAACATTGTAATAGGAGTTGCAACAAGTGTCTTCATTGGTAATTGAAAACATATAACATTTTCTAATATTGATCATGATTAATATAGTATGAATAATGAGAATTATATGAAGAAAATATGATCCCAAAATAAAGTTCCCTAGCAATAAAACTATTACTCTGTGCTAATCAGGGAATCCACAAACAATATACTCAGAAACTATACCCGATGTAAACAAACTGTACCGAATTCAGAACAGCTAAACTACTCGGTAAGATTTTGGAATTTCTATTTAATTGTATTAAGCTACATTATATCAAGCTCTTTTCAATAATTGCAACATGTGAATAATGCAGAACAAGTTTAAAATTGTTCTAGAGCCAAATTGGTTTGGGAAACTAGCAGCTCAGCCGGTCTGAACCCTTCAAGTATGAACATTAGGCATCCCTAAGCGGTCCTTCCGCGCTCTGCCTCTGTTAACCCAAAACTCTAAAACTGATTCAAAGATTATAATATAGAGAGTATAAAATAAAATATCCACCTGAACTGTATTGTCCATTCAGAAATCATTAGACCATAACCCACTTACTTGGCCAAACTTCAGCATCAATCGGTGGGCAGTGCACTCTACACTCCAAGTTCGCTTTGTTTCAAATTCATCTCGAATTTCATAATTTACCCATTGAGTGTTGATTAATCCCAATACAAATTATGACCTAGCGCGGACTTGAGGTTACTAGACTATTAAATAATCCATGTTCTTTTTAGGATAACATTTACATAAAAAAAAATCCAATTTTGGCCAATGTCCACCGAAAATAAATAAAACTACACAATTAAAAAAATTCATGTAAATGTAGGTGCTCTGAGAGTGACATATACGAGCGTCAATTTTGACACACAATTGAGTCATAAAAGACGCAAAATTCAGCTCAATCAAACGTACTTTCGAACTTTTCAGTCTCAGAGCATTTAATTTTACATGACATGTTTGTTTACGTCTCATCCTTTATGTCAAAGATGGATTCCGTCACGTGTAAAATTATGTATTTCTAAGTGTGTACTTTATAACTTGAAGTGCACTAAAAATGAGCGTTAGTTTCGGGATCATTTTAGTGTTAGAGTCATGTTAGTTTTGATCCGCAATCAGTCCTGCCGGCCTCTCCAACATTAGTTGCAGACAGTGCACTATGGTCCGAATCGACAATTTAGCAGGAAAAAATTGTTTTCTTAGTTGTTGTTCATTTTAGATGCTAAGAGTCGTGAGAGAAGTTGTTTGTTATCATACCATGCTTTTTTTTTTGAGCAAAAATCCGGTTAGGGTGGTCCTCATTTAAATCCAAATTCAAGTTCTAACTTTTTTGTTTCAGGTTATAGGTAGTTACATTGCTGTGCAAAGTTGTAGAAAATACTATTTTAGACAACTTTGCTCAACACACTATTTATCTATCTCTTAAGTTAACTGTTTTAGAGCATTTATTGAGTATTTAGTTAGGGTGTCCCTAAAAAAGCAGTTTTTTTATTCTATCTTTTTTGAACCATTTTCTTTAAGAAAATGATCTTCAAAAGACTTGTACAACAAATATTGGCGCACGTTCTTGCTGAACAAAGCATGTTGATAAGTCTTAACGTTAAAAAATTATTGACTATTTGGCTCAAAAAACCAAGTGGTGTTAAAATGCTTATATCACATGGAGTTGGATCGCTAAAATTTTTCTTGTGGTATCATCTCTAAAACGCCATACTTAAAGAAATATTTGAGGAAAAAACTGCGAGGACAACTTGCTTTAAATTTGAATAAATCAATTTTAAAAATTCCCTAAAAAAAACTTGAAAATTACCTGTAACTCTAAAATGTCTAAACATAACAACATACTGTCTTCATCAAAATTGTAGTCAAAAACTAGATCTTAAAGTCTTCTTTGCACAACTTTTTTGTAGAATGTAAAGTAAAAGAGATAGAATTAATTATGTTTTTTTTTGTGTGAGACACCCTATATCGAGTATACAGTCAAGATTCCTATAGTACGGATTCGTTCTTGCCGGATTCCTATAGTTCGGTTACCCCTGGATTCCTATAGTGCGGTCGATCCGGCATTAACGAATACACGTAGCATATGGGATTTGACCTAATTGGGACCAAACACTGATTGTAGGGTAATTTGAAGAGATAACTTCCTGGTGTCTTCTGAACAGTTATTAAACAGAATATTTGCCACCTTTTGGGAACATTAAGCATCCGGAAAGTCACAAGTCTGGTCCTGTGGAAGACCCGGAACATCCGTAAAAGTGGTCAATTCATGAAACTAATCCTAGAGCTCCGCGGTTTTTTCGAAACCGCTCATAGACGTTTTATCAGAATGAATTCGGAATTGTGACCTGAATATGGATACTGGGGACCACGGGATGGTTCACTGGAAGATCCGGAACATCTGTTAAAGTTGTCAATTCATGAAACCGATCCTAGAACTCCGTGGTTTTGTCGAAACCACTTATAGGCGTCTTATCAGAATGAATTCAGAGTTTTGAATGGAATATGGACTCTGGGGACTATGCTATGGTCTTCCGGAAGATCCGGAACATCCGTAAAAGTGGTCAATTCACGAAACAGATTCTAGAGCTCCGCGCTTAATTCGAACCCACTCATAGATTGGTCCATAATTGAAATTGATCCTAGAGCTCCACGGTTTTTTCGAAACCACTCATAGACGTCTTATCAATATGAATTAGGAGTTGTGACCAGAAAATGGATGCTGGGGGTCACGGGATGGTTTACTAAAAGATCCGGAACATCCGAAAAGTGATCGATTCATGAAACCGATCCTAGAACTCCGTGGTGTATTTGAAACCAGTCATAAACATCGTATCAGAATGAAATCGGAGTTGTGTTTGGAATATGGACTCTGGAGACTACGGGATGGTCCTTTGGAAGATCCTGAACATCCGTAAAAGTGGTCAATGCTTGAAAATGTCCTAGAGCTCTGCGGTTTTTTTTTTCGAAACCCTTAATTCAGAGTTGTGACCAGTAAATGGACGTAAAGTATACCATAGTACAATCTGTTAAATATGTTTACTATTTCAATTGCTAAAAAAAATATCAAATTCTCCAAAAAGTGCACAATCCAATGGTCTCTTCAATATTTAGATGGTTATAAGTAGTATGGGTTACCTTCACCTTTCTAAGTAGATGATTGATAAACTTTACATCCGATCCCTTGTGATTGTAAAGATTGTGGCCATGTGTATAGTGCGATCTTGTATTTTGTTATTCAAAAATCAAAAAATATGTGCAATAATTTAGAATCTCGTTTCTAGCGTGTACAATTGGTTTAAAAAATCGACAAAATTGGTAACGTGGACACTAAAAGAAGGTACCGTAAAATGTAGGTAACTTTGAAAGAAGAATATAATGATTAAATTTACCTTCTGCACTATTTACCAATTGGAAATATTAGTTCTATTTTGTAGCTTACGGTATAACCTTTGATATGCTATGGAGTTTTTGTATAGTTTGTGTAACATGTTTGACAAATATGTGAATTTTTTTTTATGTTTTTCATTTGTTTTAAAAGACACTCAAACACTCACTTATTAAATGTAACTCTGATGTGGCCATCACAAATTCAATGTTGTCTTCTTATTGTTTGTGATGTTTCTGATTATGTATTAATTTAAAGTTTCATATTTATTCAACTAAATTGTTTGAGTTTTCTGCTTGTTTTCTCTACATTAATCGAGTATTATCAAAACAAAAAACTGATGTTGGGTCACAAGACACAAAAAAAAAATTTGTTGCAAAAGCAATAATTTCTGTTACACATATTACTAATGAATTGACTCTAGGATACACAGAACTTGTTCATAAAAAAATTACATTTGCAAAAAAATCCATGGTTGTAAAATATGCTTAAAAAATACTATAAAAAAATGCCAAACCCAAACCATATTCCACTCACAATTTCAAATTCATTCTGATAACATGTCTAATACTGATTTCGAAAAATCCACTGAGCTCTAGGATCAGATTCATGAATTGAC